GACTCAATACCAGATAATGGCTCTCACAGAAAGGATCCAAGAGATAGAGAGAATCCGGCTCAAAAATAACAAGAACACAGCCAGCGCGAACAGACTCCTTTTCGCTGAATCAATAAATAAATACTGGTGCAGGTGGGGAAAAAATAATAAATCACGCGATACAATTGCCGAACTACGAATCCCCCAAACTGTCCCCCCCTGCTACACCTCAAACTCCTCCGAAATGGCCAAAATCGCTATGGAACACTACAACACAGTACAATTAAGAGACCTCCACCTCTCGCCCCCAAACGAGAGAGAAGCCTGTATCACAGAATGCCTCTCACAAATATCTCCAGCCCCCCCGACACAGACTGCCTCTATGGCAGACGACATAAGCTACGAAGATGTCCTGACAGCCCTAAAACAATCTCCAAACGGTAAGGCCCCGGGCCTAAACGGTATCCCAACTGAGCTCTACAAGAAACTCCATGAGAGGTGGCAAACAAAAACGGAGAGAAGTACCGACATAATAAAACTCCTCCACAGGGTTATACACGATATTGAGACCAGAGGTGTACTCACCCCACAATTCACAGCCGGCTGGCTATGCCCCCTATACAAAAAGAAAGATAAGAGGGAGATAGAAAACTATAGGCCAATAACAGTACTTAACGCAGAATACAAAATCATGACAACTGCCCTCATGAATAAAATCGCTCCAATCGCTCCTAACCTCATAAATAAGTGCCAAGCCGCATTCATAAAGGGCAGAAGCATTCATGATCAAATCGACCTTGTCAACCGCATGATAGACCTATGCAAAATAGTCAACCAAAACGGAGCAATCGTCGCCCTAGACCAAGAAAAGGCGTACGACAGAATTCGCCATGACTACCTATGGTGCACACTAGAAGCCATGGGAATCCCAACCCCAACCATCAACACCATAAAAGCTCTCTACACCAACCCTAAAACCCGCGTAATCCTAAACGGTGAAACCAGCAAAGAGTTCCTAATACACAGAGGAGTAAGGCAGGGCGACCCCCTATCGTGCCTTCTTTTCAACATAGCCATAGAACCCCTATCAGCAATGCTAAGAGAATCAGGCAAAATACATGGCCTTGAAATCAAAACCCCGGCACTCACCCAGAAAATCATCGTCTCCCTATTCGCAGACGATGCCGCGGTCTACCTCTCAGAAAAAGATGAAATAAACAACCTCCATAACATCCTTGACACATGGTGCACCGCCTCAGGAGCTAAATTCAACAAAGAAAAGACGGTGATTATTCCCGTTGGCTCACCGACATACCGCAAAAACCTCCACGACACAAGGAAACTGAGCCCTAACTCAACCATGTCCTTCCACGGCGACACAACAATCCTCCAGGACGGCCAGACCACAAGATACCTTGGAGCCCAATGCGGAAACCATCCAAGCGGATCCGACCCTTGGCCGGACATTACGGCCAAAATCAATACGAACCTCAAAAACTGGCAAAAAACTTACCCGACAATCGAAGGGAGGAAACTCATCACCCAAATGGTGATAGGCGGCATGACTCAGTTCCACACCTCAGCACAAGGCATGCCAGAGAGCGTCGAAAAAGAGCTCAGCACCCTGATAACAAACTTCATATGGGATGCCCAGATTCCCCCTCTCAACATGAGAACCCTAAACAACCCACCGGGGGAAGGGGGAAGAAACATCCTGAACATCAAAGCGAGGAATGAGGCAATCTACCTTATGAAACTGAAAAAAATCCTGGATAGATCCCCTAACAGGCCGGCTGCGGCGGATGCAGCTGAAGCAATAATCATCGCCACGCTTCCGAAACACATCCGCGACATGGAAACCCGCGACCCACGAATAGTTGACATCTTCTCCCAAAAAGTATTCAACAAGCAACGCTACTCGAGTAGGAACCTTCCACGTGAAATCAAGGCCGTCCTCAACACAGGGGCCAAGTTCAACCTAGCCCTCGATGACATTAACATACCACTGAACATCAGACTGGACCTCCCCGCATGGCACCACATCGGGATGAATGACAATGCCAGAATGAAGGAAAATACGCCCGCAGCCAAATGCCTAAGAAGGACCCACGACTGCCTCCGAACCAGGGACCTCCTAGCCCAAGCCGACATCCTAGACGACCCACGCCACAGACGCTGGAGCAAACCTTGCCCCTGCCCCTTGTGCTCAAGCTACAAAAACAAAGGCTGTAAGAACCCCGAAACATGCTACCAACTCGCCGAAAATATGATCTCAAACCTCTGCCCTAAGTATAACCCTCGCACCGTTTTAGCATGCCGGCCCCCTCCCTCAAGGAACGACGAAACCAACACCGAAATCCACTCGCTAGGCGACCCGCTGAACGTCAGAACCATAAAAGCCTACCCCAAACCGGGAAACTACCTATCTGACTATTTCCGCATCTTTCGCGAAAAGAGCAACCGTGCTGCTCCCCCCGACCTTAGACCCCCTAGAGGCCTCAACACAGACATAATGGCCTACACGGACGGATCCTGTACCGGCAACGGCGAACCCGACGCCAGGGCCGGATTTGGTGTATGGATTGGCACCGACAACCCCAACAACGCGAGCCTCCCAGTCAACCACGCCTTTCCCCAGACAAATAACACCGCGGAAATACTGGCGATAAACCACGCTGTGGCCACTGCACCCCGAAGTGCCAGACTCCATATCAAAACCGACTCCAGATGGTGCGTGAACACACTCACCACAAACCTCGACAAAACCGAGGACCAAAATTTCATCGGGACACCCCAACCTCTCGCCATCAAGACCACAATAAACACCCTCCGCAAGAGAAATGGCGTCGTCTCAATAGAGTGGATAAAAGGCCACAATGGGTGCAATGGCAACGAAAAAGCTGACGAACTCGCTGCCTTAGGATCCTCGGCCCCCCCAACCGACGAACTAGCCCCCCCTACCCTCCCCTACACTCAAAACGGCGCAAGGCTAAGCGCCCTAACACAATCGATCACCACAAAACTAATAATAAGAGAATCAGCAAAAAAGAAACTCACTAACAGTCAGAGATCGACGGAAAACCTAGACCGCATAAGAGACATCCTAAAAAACATGGACTGCCCTGCCCCCAATGACAGCAGAATCTGGCTCGCCATCCTAAAGAACAAGAAAGAACTGAACCCCAGCCTAAGAAACTTTGTATGGAAACTGGTCCACGGCGCCCACAAAGACGGTCTCTACTGGAGCAAAATCCCGGGTTACGAGGACCGTGGTCAGTGCCTGAAATGCGGGACTACTGAATCGATGAACCACATCATTTTCGAGTGCCCACACAACCAAGGCCCAAATCTCTGGGCCGCTGTCGAAGACATGTGCACAGCGAAAGGCATCAACTGGCCCGCCAACATAGGAATACACCACGTGATGGCAGCCCCCCTGATATCGATCAAAAAGAGAAATGGCTCCGTAAAACTCGGCGCATCTAGATTTTTCATGATAACCGTACTCGAATGCACCTGGCAGATATGGAAACTAAGGTGTAAAAGAATCCTAGGAGACAACACGGAAAGAATCTCACTGAACGAAGCCGTTAACACACTTAAAGCTGCCATGAACGATAAGCTGTGCCAAGACAAACACCTCACGAACAGAAGAAAGTATCATAACAAAGCCCTCCCTGGATGGCTCGTCCTACACACATGGAGCGGCGTTATCGAAAACGAAGCGTGCTTCCCTGAGAATTGGCTGAAATGCAACGGGGTTTTAGTGGGTATACCCGACCCCCCACAGTCGCGTGAGCCCCACACGGTGCGATAATGATTTCGCCAGTGCGATAACGCATTTCCCCGCGGTGGCAATTCCCATCATATAGGCACTAGATACACCGATAGGAAGGCCTAGTCCTTCCCCACAAACCTTCAGGCACTCAAGCCTGCGAAAGCTACAGAAGGTTCCACCAAAAAAAAAAAAAAAAAAAAAAAAAAAACTTAGCGTGGGAACATCACGTGTTGCAAGTTGTACCAGTCGCTCGACAGATTTCGGAGGGCAACGTAAGTTGCGGCTAAACCTCGGAGAAATCATGTGAGCGACTGGGAAGGAGTCTAGGTAACTCTAGTCAATTTTATTACTGAAGTGTAACCTATGTACAAGTTGGATATATATATGGTTACAGCGAAGACGGGTCCGCAAATGGCAGAGCCGAACGGAGCGGAGCTAACGGGGTTAAACATTAGCCGACTGAATATTACCGACGAGTCGGGTCACGGGGTTAACGGAAAGGCGGGCGATAACCCAGAAACGGAAAGGAGGGATAGGCCCGAAGGTGGGCTCTGCAGGGCAGGCGAGTGTATTGCCCAGCGGAGGGGGGAGTGCGCTAGCGGACATCGGAGCTGTCCGGAAGTCTTCGGGGCTCTGTACTTAGGGAGGCATAGGTAATAAATTGAAAGGAGGGGGTGGTGACCATCGAGGGGTACCGAGAGGATTGCGGAATACGGGAGCTCCGAGGTTAGTAGAGAAGGAGCGGAGGTAGACCGGAGGGATCGGAGGGACCGGAAGTCGATGGCCGGGAATGGATATGACAGAACTGAGGAAAAAAGAAAACAATCCCAAATAACGAGAAACTATACATTCGCGATCACGAGGACCATGTGTCACATGCGGGTCATGTGCGCTTGCTGGTGAGTCACGGGTTGTTGCCTCACAACATGATCTAGGCCATGTCGCGTCGCATTCCTCAAACCGTGCGCGGACGTTCCCGTACGCGCACTCACACACCACCCAGTGGCAACCTGGCAGCAGGTCTCCACCGACTTTCGAAGACCTGCACAGGCTGCTGGGGCCTTCAATGACCTACGAAGAGTTTCGAGGTTGTATGGAACAGTACTGTTCCAAACCAGGTGCATCGTTGGCACGCCTTTTTTCCACTGGCTTGCCAACTTCCCCCTGCCCCCCTCCTGAGCTTACCTCTCATTATGAGAGGTCACAGACGGTTCGTCCGACCGTCGTTCCACTGGTTTCATGCCAGAAGGAAGGCACCTCAGCATCTGCTGAGTGCCAGCTCACCAAAGCGCCCAGCGCTTTGGCTTTCTCTGGGCAGGCCAAATCCCTGGCCACAACCGTTCCTTCTCATCGTGAGAAGTCAAAGATGGTCCACACAACCATCTCCCCACCTGTTCCATGTGGGGATAAGAGCATTTCAGCATCCGCTGAGTGCCTGAGGTCTGAAGTGCTCCACGCTTCGACTTTCTCTGGGCCAGCCAAATCTATGGTCCATACACATTCCTCTCGCTCCGAGAGGTCCAATACGGTCCAAGCAACCGTATCCCTACCGGTTCCATGTGGGGAAAAAGGCGTCTCAGCATCCGCTGAGCGCCAGCTCACCGATGCGCCCTGCGCATCGACTTTTCCTAGGGCTGTTAAATCACCAGCCCCTATCTTTTTCCCTCATTCTTAGAGGCCAGTGGCCGTCCCTGCGACCACTCCTCCACCTGTTCCGAGTGGGGAGAAGCGCGTGCAAGCCCGGGTAGGGTGCCAGCTCACTGAGCACCCGCGCAACCTGACCTTTTCCAGGTCAAATTGCCCAGTGGTTCTTGCCACTGTCCCCTGGCGACCCGCTTCGCCTGTATGCCCAGAATTGACACAGACAACATGTCCTACGTCGATTCCAGGCCAGGTTAATGGCAGTCTGGCGCCTGTGGACTGCCAGCTTGCGGAAGCGCCGACCCGCGCTTCTGTGATCCCTGAGCCATTAAAGGCTCCTACCATCGCCCCCGGGTCTGGATCCGTCCCAGACCTAATCATACACACACTCCCACCCTCCAAACTCCCGTTCCCAGAGTCTGAGGGGGAGAGTGAGTCGCTGGAAGACGACATCGCGCTTGCTGGAACAGCAAGCGCGGTATTCCTCCTGCCCAGTAGAAATACTGGGCTGCATCATTTGCGATCGGCTGAGATAGCCGATCAACTCCCTTCACTCATGAAGGGACACCGTGATCTAAAAGATAGGGTCAAATCCTAATCTTTTCTCCCATTCCATGCAGACTGTTTCCAGTCTGCGCTACCATTGCGGCCATTTAATGGCAGAAATCTCTCATTCTGAGAGGCTCTACAGCCTCTCAGCGCTAATAGACCAGCTTCTCAGCTTTCGCTAAGTTTCATCACACCATGGCACGTTCCACGCGCCGGATCCTCCCATACCCGACCATATCGGGTTTCCTATTACTCAAGGCTGCGAAACCAGCCTTGATACGACCTATCAAACCGCTGACAATCGCGGTTTTCACAGTCCTCAGTGACTGCAACCAACTCGCGCGATGAAAATCGCGCAAACGCTTGAGTGGGCCTCACTACCCACTCCCTCCCCTTTCCTCTCACTCTGCGAGGCTAGAGATGGTCTATACGAGCATCTCCCAACCGGTTTTACACCAGATCGACGGCACCTCAGTGTCTGCTGAGTGCCAGCTCACTGAAGCGCTTCGCGCTTCGACAAATTGTGGGTCAGTTAGACAAACTGCCCCATTCCTTTCGTCTAAAAAGGCTACAGACGGCCCATACGACCATCTCTTCGCTGGATACTGGCCAGAACAAGGACTTATCAGTCCTTGCTGACTGCCAGCTCACCGAAGCGCGTCGCGCTTCGAGGATTTCTAGGACAGTGTAATAACTGACCATATCCCTTCCACTCCCAATCACTAGGAGTGTGTAGAGACGGCCTACACGACCGTCTCCCCGCTGGTTTTGCGCTATAGCAAGGGCCCTTCAGCCCCTGCTGAGCGCCAGCTCACAAAAGCGCGTTAGCGCTTCAACATTTTCTGGGCTGTCAAATTGATGGCTCCCACCTCTTCCTCTCATGCTGAGAGGTCGTAGATGGTCCCTATGACTGTGTCTCTACTGGCGTCACACCAGTAGTTCAGCTCTCCAGCTTCAGCTGGGAGCTGGCTCATGGAAGCGCGCATGCGCGCATTAAAATTTGCAGCCCTTACTCCTTTCCTCTCATCCTGAGAGGCTCTGTATGGTCTATCCGACCATGCCCCTACTAGTTTTATACCTGTAGTACGGCTCTTCAGCTGTTGCTGAGAGCTGACATCCAGAAGCGCGACCCGCTTCATCGATTTTACCCATCCTTATGGGTAAAACTCCATTTTCACTCCCTAACAACTGTTTAGGGAGGAGCGGCCTTTATCGGCCTGGGGTTTATTGACCCCAACACCCCCCTCACAATTGTTTAGGGAGGAGCAGCCATCAATGGCCTAGGGTTTCACGACCCTTATGTTTTTATTTTATTTTATCATTCCTTTTATTGATTAATTCCCTGGAACCGGGAATTTGAAGGCCTAATCACCTTCACAAGTAGAGGTCTAACCACCTCTACCTTATGTTTTAATTTTATCTTAAATTGTTAATCTTGATTTATTCCTGTTAAATTGGGAACTCTTGCGCTGTCACACCAACAGCTCTGTAGAGGCTTAATGGCCTCTACATTACTTTGAATTCTTGAACCATCAAATCAATGGTTCCGTGAAGGCCTAACAGCCTTAACCTTACTTTGAATTCTTGAACCATCAAATCAATGGTTCCATGAAGGCCTAGCAGCCTTTGCATTAATTCTTGAACTGTCTCAACAACAGTTTAATAAAGGTCTAACCACCTTTATCTCTAATTTTATTTCAGACTGTCAACAAACAGTTCTGTAAAGGCCTAACTGCCTTTACCTCTTTCTCCATTCATCTTTCCTATTTTATTATATTTCTTTGGGAGGCCAAACACTCCAGCCTGCTTTATGTGATAGTAAATATCACAAGGGAGGAGAGTGTAAGGAGTGATGTTCCTTGAGGCTGACCATCTTTATTCCCTTGCTATAAATAATGTACAACAATGTAATTACATATTTATATAATGGAGTGTGAGATGAATGGAGTTTAACTCCATTCCTCCACACACATCAAAATATAGCTCTATACAGCTTATCTCTTTGATGGACTTGAGGAACTAGGAGATACAAGGTCGGCACCTACACCAACCTTACAGAATTCCACACTGATACTATGGAGTTCGGCTACTGCTTATCTCCAGCTGGACTCACCATGTCCACAGAGAAGGTTAAGGCTGTTCAGGACTGGCCTGAGCCCCATAAGGTTAAGGATGTCCAGTCCTTCCTCAGCTTTGCAAACTTCTATTGGCATTTCATCCACAAGTATTCTGACATTGTAGTACCCTTGACTGTCAGGGCACACACCCTGACTAGCCCGGACCTGGACCCACATCCAGACCCGCTGCGCTTCCCACATCCATGCATGCTCCACTCGCCACATGTTCCAGGCCCGGTTCCCACCCCCTCATGTGACTTCCAGGTATCCCCGGAAGTTTGCCTGATATTGTGGCCACTGTGGGAAGATGAGAAGTTAGCTTCCTTCTCATCTTCTTACCCACAGTAGGTTGTGCCCTGGATAGGGCTGGTTACACCATGGGGCTGTGGACCATAGGGGAGGGTCATGGGGACCCAGGAGTCGTCCCCTGACATTGATGTGGCTCACACATAAGGAGGGCCTCGATGATGGATGTGAGTCGAGGGGGAGTTCTGCTACCACAGCGAACACCCAGCATGGGCCTAAACCTTCACACGGTGCCCCTGTTTAAAACTAATTAGGCCTCTAACATCTGAAGGGAGGATGATGTGGCCACCATGGTAATGCCAATCAACCGCAACCCCATAAGCCCAGAGCTGCACTGGCTGGAGAGATGCAAGAGCGCAGGTGCATGTCCCACTGTCAAGCCAACCCTTCCTTTTTCTTCTCACCACTACCTTTTTGGGATGACGAGCGCGATAGTGGCAATGCCAATGGTGACCTCCGTAAGCCCAGATGGGACTGGCCAGAGGACTGTGGGTTCAAGTCCCACCGTCACCCCAACCCTTCCTTATTCTTCTCTTCTCCACTACCTTTTGGGATGGTGAGGTGCAATAGTGGTAGCACCAATGGTAGCCTCCATAAGTCCATGGGCAGGCTGGAGGAGTGCAGGTTCAAGTCCTGCCATCACCCCAACACCCTTCTTCCTTCTTTCTCCACTGTCAGAGATCTGGAATGCTTGTCAGAGACTGGGATATTGTCGGAGTCGGGCAGACTGTCAGAGTCGGAACACTGTCAGGAGGCGGATAGAAGATGGATTGGGTTCTGTCTGAGTTGAGGTCGGAGGTGATGCAGAGGTCTGTTGGAGCGCACGTGCGGATATGCGGGCGGAAATATGCGGCATGTCCGGAAGCGCTGTTCAAGGTTAGCAGAGTGGGATCATGGCCTCAGCGACTCAGGTGGAGCGCTGTGCCCTGAGCTTGACATTTGGGGGAGATCCCATATTTACGGATTGACACTCACAGCGGACTTCAAACAAGACTTGTGGGTGGAGCAGACCTGTAGGAGGAGCACGGACTCCGCGAGCATGGACTCAGAGGGGGGGAAGCCCCCTTTGCAGAAGGAGAGACTCAGACCAGACAGGGGGGGGTACTCTAGTTGATTTCAGACTGAGGTCCCCGAAAGTATTTACAAGGTATAAGTAGATAAGAGAAATCAAAAGAGGGACCGGTCAGTCCGGTGCGGAAATAAGCGGAAATGAGCGGGGACTTGTCAAACTAAACCAAGGACAAGAACCTGGGAAATGGGAGGCAAGGAATGAATAAAGTTAAAGCGGATCAAATACCAATATTGGGGTGAACATAATAGGCACTCGGTGTCAGGGCATGCCCCACCCGACCCCTGCTCTGCTCCCCCACTCCGCACCGCTTCTCCCTCTTCCTTTCTCCTTTCCTTCTTTCTCTCTCTCTCACATGGACCACCTTTCCCGCTGCTCAATGTATCACCGGCGTGCACGCCTATTTCCCCTCCTGTATCTTACCATCCCTACATCGCCGCCACCGCTGCCGCACTCGCCCCGCACCCACAGCGAGCCCTCTCGGGATCTCCTGCGGAGACACCCGGAGAGCCATGGCTGTGTGCAGGGGTGACGTGGTGCCCCCCACGTGACCGATCCCGCATGTATATAATAATGGCTGGAGTGGGAACCAAAGAAGTAGCCTTCTTCTCATATTCCCACTTCAGGCAAGTAGTGTAGTCTCCCCTTTTAATGATAACTCATATTCCCACTTCAGACTAAGTGGTCGGGGACGCTCACCCTGCGACGGGATCGCCGCTACGCACAGCCGCTATTCGTCCCACCGAGTCCCGTGCGCAGGGACCTCGCTGCTTTCGGAGCTGTCCCTGACACTCGGCAAGGAATGAATGTTATGTTGCCGAGTGACAAAAATGGCCAGAGGACAAAAGCGGAGGTCAGCGCGTGGTGCTGATACAAGTCCGCAAATAAGCGGGGTCGGTGCGGTGCCAACACAAGTCCACGAACAGAGGTTGATCTGCCAGCACTGTCACACAAGGACAGCATGAAGGCCAACAGAGGTACAGAGGGGAGTGGGAGTGTTGACCTGACCAGAGGTGTCAAGGGCAACCAGAAGTGGCCAGAGGGTGCAGAGATGGGCAGAGGGTGCGGAGTGGGCAGAGGGTGCGGAATGCACGGAAGCGGGGCATGGCTGTGACCACATAGCAGGAAGCGATGAGTGTGGTTCAGAGGGAGACAAGGCAGGCATGACTGAATGCCAGGAGCACCAAGGGCTCAGGAACTGGAGGTAAGGTTGGAATACCGGCAGGGTCTAGGTTCTGATTATTGGCCAAGTCTCATGCAGTAAGGCAGGGGGCCAGACATGGGGTTGGGGGCTGGTTAGGATGGGTTTCAGGTCGGCGGATTCGCCTATCGGCATTGGTTCGCCGCTGACGGAGCCCCGGGATTTGTTGGTCATGACATCCACTACCTCTTGGGATCATGGGGCACAATAG